AGAGAGAGAGAGAGAGAGAGAGAGAGAGAGAGAGAGAGAGAGAGAGAGAGAGAGAGAGAACATACCTGAGTGTGTTAACATTGCAGACAGGTGAGAAAGACTGTACCAGAGCATACCTTGGGCTTGACGGCCACAGACGCCTGTACTTGATGATCAGACTATTGCAACAATTTCGTAAACTGGAATTATAATCTCTTGTTTCTGCTGATAACTCTCTCATTGTTTTGCTTTGTGAGTGTCGTGCGAACTTTGAGTGCTTGCATGGCTGCAAAGTGGGAGTCAAATTGAGTCGGACCATTGCAGCACTAGCGGATGGAAGAAGAGGTACTATTTGAAGGGGCAAAATCAAGTTTAACTGATGGCAGAAGGGAGATGAACAAGAAAGCGACGTAAGAGTAATCATGAGCATAGCAGATTCTGCCAGCTTTAGGTTGGGTCAGCATGGATCTGGACAGCATTCGACGATGTGAAAGATAACTGGCTGAAATTCATTGTTGCTTTCATCGCACATCAGGCAGTTGGCATCCATGGACTGAGAGCAATAGCTTGAGATTTGGTCTTCAAGTAAGTTTTCTTTGGGCCCAGTGAAACGGGCAGGGACAATTTGCATAATTGTTTGGGATGCCTGACAGTTGCGAGGAATGAGCCTCGCGGAGCCCTTATCAGACATGCAAGTGTTCTGGGCTGTGGCCCCCAGCAGGCCTCGTGCCCGCCCTAAGTGAAGGCGGGCCTGAATATCCACGCGAGGTCTGTTCTCGACAATATTTCCATTTGTGGGTACTCAGACAGTTGCAGCACGCCAGTTGGTTACAGAACAACGTGAGCCTCCAGGTTCTTTCCAGAAGAAAAAGGCTGCGCTGTACAGTTGAGCCCAGGGCCCAGGCGGTTGCAGCCTGGGCACATGCTGTGTGAGGCCGACACATCACGGACTGGTTACGGGCCAATGAGGAAGCAGCATTGTCCAATGAGGAAGCAGCATTGTCGTCACACATGTGCCGCGAGCCAATGAGAATGCTGCAAACACTTGGAGGCTGGGTGGCTGCCTGGACGTGCCTAACTGCACGAGGCCCAGTCCAGTTTCGGGAACTGGGCCGCGCGCAGACACTTGGGGCCCAACTGAAGCTACTGGGCCCCCCACACGCCTGGCCAGGACAGCCAGCAGCGGCACACTTTCCATAAAGGAAAGTGTGAGCCCCTGGGAGAGGCATTCTGGCCGTGCCAGGCATTGCGGACACGCTGCTGCGTTGCTGCGCTAGTGTCTGCATGGACGCTGCGGGTCGGGCGCGCGCACGGGCACTGAGGTGAGAGAGGCGCTGCGAGGCAGTGGGCGCACAGCAGCCATAGCCGGGCTGCAGGGGCGAATGCAGGTGATGGCGATGGCGGTCTTCGGGTAGGAGGTGCATGATGAGGGGAGGAGAGAGAACGTACCTGGTGTATGCTGGTGGTTGGCATTGGTGTTGACGCCACGTACATTGGTCTTCGACTTCAAAGTGATCCAGTTGCAAGAACGTAGATAGGCTAGGTAGGCTGAGTAGGATAGGCTGGGCACTGAGCGCCAGACAGTAAGTGCGACATTGGATACAGTGTTGGTGTGACCAGAGAGTGGCGACATTGACACCTGAGTTCATTGTATTGCTCTTGTTTGGACGGTATCTTGGTGCATTGCACTCTCTGATTGGTTCATGACTATCTGAGCTACTTCGTGATTTTGCCACGTGGATTTCTGTCTATCGCTCTCGCTTATATTCCTTGCACACTGTACAGTCAATTCCTCTGTAAGAAGGCAATTAATGCCGTTTTGGGTGCTCCTGGTTGTAACGAGGGGAAGCATTCACGTGGGTTTCAATGTATCTCCATGACTTGCTGGTGGAATAGGATATGGACTGATGCCCCCCCAGAATAGAATGGAGCTAAGACCATAAGGTCTTTTGACAAAAGTAAAATAAAATGAAATAAAATAAAAATGATAGGTCCCAAAACTTACTGTTGCACTGGACACAGAGTTTTTGAAAGACTGTGTGCTGCTATGGTTGAAACATGAAACACTGATGGAAGCACTTGCACAATTACGGGTTATAGAACTTTTTAGAAGTTTTTAGTAAGTTTTTTACAGAATAAAGTGGTGCTGTTGAATGCGTGCCTTCTGTAAGATTACAGTGACCATTTGTTGACAAGGGCAAGGAGGAAAAACAGGAAGCAGGTTTACGGGCTGCATCTGATATAATATGTGGTGAACAGTGAAGGGAATGGGCATACGCAAGAGGAATGAGCTCAAGGCTGTCAGGTATTGCGATTTGCGTCGCGGAGTGTCGGAGACTGAAGACGGCAATCGCCACTTTTGGGAATATATAGATCCCATAACTAAAAGGGCTCAGGTAACTTATTCTCTCCCATTCTCTGTGATCTTGAAGCTGCTGTGATCGCAACCCGTGATGGCAACGCAAAAATAAAAAAAAAGAGATCACATGAAAACTGTCAAGCAACATTGTTTTCTCTTTTGAACTATTCTTTTGCTTCAACTGTAATACTTTTCGCTCTTTTTCAATAACGAGTGGGGAAGGGCGATGTGTTGTTAAACCCGAGATAGAGCAAGCGTGGTCATGGCTAACCACGCTCCATTAACTATGTTGTTGATGTGTATGAGGCTATGAGCTGTATGTGTTGAGACATTGGGCAGGTGACATGGTTAACAGTGTGCCAAGACACTCATGGCATTCTTGTTCAACGCAATGGCAGCAGGCGAAGGGCGAGGAAGAGGGGGAGGAACAGAAAGAGGGGGAGTGGGAGGAGGGAGGGAGTAGGAGCAGGTAGAAGAAGGAAGGCTACATGACGGAGGAGGAAGGTGGAGGCGGAGCAGAAGCACCACGAGGAAGAAGCTGCTGGGTAGGAAGTGGACGAGGAGTAACTGAGTTGAACTCTAGTTTACCAGCAAACAGTGCAAAAAAGAAAAAAAAGAAAAAAAAAGTGCAAAGCCAGTGTGATTGCCACTTTCCTTGCTCTGTGATACTTTCTCTCTTTAAAAAAAAAGATACATAGCCCTCTGGCTGTGGCCCCATTCTAGCATGGCGAGCATCACGCTGTCCACCATCCTGTAATAGGTTGAAACAACCAAGTAGGTACTTCATGCATAAGAAGTGCTAAGAACTCTTGAAAAGGGTTTGAAAAATCCTGGAAAATGTTTACTGGGAAGACCCTGCTGTGAGAATGACAAGGCTTCTTCGAACACAAGCATAACCCTATGCCCAAGTACTGTGATGAACGTTTCTAGACGATAAGGACATCTTGTTGGTATAATAGCATAACCTTATGCCCAAGCTCCTGCCTAACATCTGATTGCTGATTCCCTACCCTGTTGCCTGGTGCAGTTCTCACTTTCAGTTGTCTGCGAACAATTGCGTGATGACTCAATGGGGGGTTATGCGCTATGTAACTTGGGTCATATTTTTCTTTAACTGCAGAGAAGGGTCTTGTAGAAGTGCACTGAAACGTTTTGTGTTGCACACCGGATGCAGCACTTCGGTACATCCTGAATCTTGAATGGGTATTTGATCCGGTTGATTGCCCGGAGGCGAGTCGGACCGTGGGCTAGTCTGATGTCCAATGATCTGAGTGATTTCAAATTTACGAGTGAAGTTCGGTTGGCCATAAAAGGCTCGAAGCTTCACAAGACTGTGGACGAGTCTGATGAACAAATGATCTAAATGGTTTCAAATTTGCGAGTGAAGTATCCGTTAGCCATAAAAAGGTGGAAGTTCCACATGGATTTGTAGTAAGTTTGTACTTATCGGTGTGCCACGTGCATTGTTGGCTTTGTTCCCCAGAGGATCTATGACACTCCGTGGGCTCCAAAGGACTGCCCTGTAGCAGACATCGATGAGTACATGGAAAAGATGAAGTCGTTCCCTCCAAACGAACAGCTGTTGAAGACTCCTTTGAGAAATCCGCCACCCACAGGATGGGCAAGCACGCTTCGGTGGTATGGAGGGTCGCCGATGGGTATTAACATGATTGGAATGATTTTCAGAAGATGTCAGGTGGGGGCAGGACTGACAACAAGCAATGCAGGAAGTGCTCCGTGTTTGTGGAGATTAACAGTGACTGTAGGAGGGAGCAGTACCCATCAAGAGGATAGCTATCAGGCTGACGATAATGGCAGTGGGCGTGCTCTCAGGCATGAACCAGGTAAGTATCATAGCGAGCAGGAGGAAGGGCTTGGGGATGGAAGAGACGGAGGAGCAGCCCCTACTGTAGCAGCAGCAAGAGGAGGAGGAGGAGGAGGAGGAGGTAGCAGCGAAATAACGATAATGGGAAAGAGGCCTGTTCCTGTAGATTGGGGACAAGATAAGGATCAGGATCGTGCTTCTATTGCCAGGTCGGATGCACTTGCAGTTCACCCGAGGCCTCCTGGCTGGGGTGCAATCAAGCACCGGCGAATCAGCATAGAGCCTGACAAACAGGATCAGGAGATCTTCCTACCATCGTCATCCAAAACTCTCATGGAAACAAGCAGAGAGAGAGGTGACGATAGTGAGATTACAGCATCGCGGCCATCTGATAGCGTTGAGATGACTGTACTGCAGACATCCACAGGCAGAGCTAGGTCCGTAGCTGGAGGGGGTTCATTTGCATCGGGATCTGTGATAGTGTGTAGTCCATCCTCGCATCCACGTGCATCAATGTCCCCAGGCCTCCGCTTTCGGAATTCAGGAGGATGGGGCCGCGATGGTGACAGGAATGTGTTCCTTGGCGATCCTGTGGAAAGGTCAGGGTTGGGGTCAGGGTCAGGGCTGGAGGTGGGACCAGTCCGGCCCTCGGCTGAGGATGATTGGGTCACTCCCTTGGCCCCTTTCTCTTCTTCTCCGGGACATGGTCAGCTTGCAACCGTGTCAGGTCTAGGCCAAGGATCTCCAGGACACATTTCAGCGAAGGGATCAGCATCGTCGCAATCAGAAAGGAGAGCCCCAGATACGCACATGGCTGAGAAGCTGCCACGTAGTCATGGTCGACTGCTGCTGCTGAATAGGAGTATGGCAGGCATGCCGAAGCCAAAAGACGAGAGGACAGAAGATGTGCTTTTCGAAGGCATGCACAGTGATGGGGGCGATGACCATAAGAGAGGCAAGGAGGAAGAAGAGCAGCTCGCAAGGAAATTCAGGGAGCAGGGTCTTCTGCCGGAGGAACAGAGTGGAGGGGGGGGAGTAACCAGTGGAGATAGAGATGGAGACAGAGGAAGCTATGGTAACGCGAATGGGGAGGATGACAGGGATCTTCTTGTAGGTCATTCTAAAAAGGTTGTAGAGTGCAAGGGTCAACTCAAGTGGAGGGAAGAAGTTGGTCATCATAGAGGCAGTAGTCGAAAACTGACGGGAAGGGGGAGGAGAAGGGGAAGGAGGGGAGAAGATGATAACGGCAGTGAATCCCAAGCGGGAGTGGTGGTGTTGGTCGAGGACGAGGAGGAGGACGAAGACGAGCAGGAAGTCGACAGATGTGGTCAAGCACGTGGAGGCGGTAATGGACAACCAGTCAGAGAAGGGGCCAGGCAGCCTGCCTTAACCATCTCTCAAGATCAGTCATTTCCCGACAAAATGGAATCTTGTGGTGGCAACAGTGTTAGCATTGAACCATGCAGTCAGTCCATGGCAGACGTCATGGATGCAGAGGATGAGTGTGTCAGGGCTTCCACAGCAGATGCCGCACGTCAGGTTTGCCCATCGCTTCGGTCTCCTGGTAGACAGGAAGATGGCAAGTCATCATCTGCACCAAAGCCCAGCAGCAGACATGCATCGTAGGTACCGAACTGCCGTGTAGAACCGGGGCAGACCCCTCCTACGTCCTGAAGCAAAGAAGGGAACGTGTTGAGATACATAGGCCCCCCTTTGGGAACAGTCGCCTTGCTGGGTGAGAATATTCTGCACCGACCGGTTTAGACCGCTTACCAGGTATGAGATTCAGATATCCAAGAGTACACTCATAAAGAGGTACTGCTGCCATCTCGCCTCAAATAAGAAGCTCGGGCAAAATGAGTGTCTTGAAGTCAGGCTTCAGGGAAGAAACAGTCGTAATGCCCAGACAATTTCCATTAGTTGCAAACGTACCACTACTGGGGAACAAGAAGCACCTGTCAGGTAGCAAGATGTATGGGCAGCGGTAGAAGAAAAGGGACAAAGATGCGCGCTACCAATGTAACCTAAAGCTACTTGAGAACCACGTGCAGGTTACAGGATCACTTTTTGAAACTGTTAGTGCAGATTGCCAGTGTCAGGTCTCGGACGTACGGAGGTAATTGTTGATTGATGGGATCTTACGAAGGACATACGAAGATAACTGATTGATAAGAGCTTACTCGAAGGTACCAGCTGAGGGCCTGATCTATCAAAGGCTCTAGCTATGTCAGTGTCCTAAGGGGGACCAAGTCCCTTCAGCACTAACTACCTACGTAACATCATACCTTCCTCTAGTTAGCGTATCCGTTACTCGAGTTCCGTCGTTACCTATATGTGCTGTATATAGTGCATTTAATTACAACTACAATTGTAATATCATTAGTAGTTTATCATCAAATGATTTATACTAATTTTATAGTCTTGTTTGGAAGTTGTTCCTAAATTGATAAATTATATTACAGTTAGCAAAACATCTCGTTTTCTATTATTATATACCTTATATCAATTGATTGATTGATTGATTGATTGATTGATTGAATTGATGGATTGATTCATTCATTCATTCATTAGTTGCATTAATTTATTCAGAATTGCCAGCAAAGTCACGATGTACCTACCCCAAGAGAGCTTGCTTCTTGACAGGCGTATGGCAAACACCAGTGACTGCTGGGTCTGACACTATGCCCGAGTTGAGAAACGATGTTGCGCATATAGGGATTTACTCAGATGCTTCCCTTTCAAAAGGGTTCATGCGCCATGTGTTATGTTGTCCATTACAAAGGCCTGAAGGCCATTAATCCGTGTGCAGTGTGTACAGGATGTAGCATATCAAATTTTAGGGGGCTGTCAGGACCGTTCCACTTGTAGGATCAAAGAAAATGTCTGTCTCCATTCATGCATCCATGAGCTGCTGCTGGGTCATTTCAGCATTGTCCGAGGGCAGCTGCATAATGACCCCCTGGCAAACTTAATATAAGTTTCCCTTAAGCGAAGGGAGGGGGTATCTCCATTCACTGTCCCCCTACATGGGAGTGAATGCGAGTGATTCGTCCTCACTCATCAGATGAAAGTTTGACGATAAAGAAGATAAGTCCTTCAACAGAAATACCGATCTGAATCCATCCTTCAAGCTTTCAGCGATCTCAGCTCCCTCAGGACAAGTCACACACACACACACACACACACACACACACACACACACACACACACACCTGTTCATCTATTGACAAGTGATATTCCCTGTCCTCTTGTGGTCCTATCTGGATAACATGCCTGGTGTCCATCTTGATGACTGGGGTCAAGTGCTGGTCTGATGAGGAGGACGAAGGAACCACTGCACTTCTCCCCTCCCTACATCTTCCACAGACCCGCACCACTCATTATGGATTGATCATTTTTCTCTCTCACTCACTCACTCACTCACTTACTCACTCAGGCGCTCACTCACTTATGGATCGCCCATTCTCTCTCTCACCCTCTTATGGATCACTCGTTCTTTCACTCACAGATTCCTCATGCTCTCACTTGCTCGCTTCATCATTCACGCACTCATTTACATCTGACATATGAGTCTGTTATCACATCAGCCCAACTAATCGTGACCGCCATTGATTCCTCCCTTGTTCCTGGTAACCCTCAAATTTTGACCAGTATCGATTGATGGGACGCAACAACTCAAATTTTGGAACAGGGCACTGCAGGCAGGCAGGCAAAGCATTGTTGTTTTCAAGAACAGTGATCTCCATGCTACGTGCACGGGAATGGATGAGCCGCACACGTCGGGCTCATTACAGTTCTATCAGAGCGCAGAGAGTTAGAAGAGGACCACAAATGGCGGCGATTGTTGCATCATGCAGTTTTGGTCAATGGAATGCATGTCCAATCCGAGAATCGAACACACAACCAACGGCTTGTCAATGGTATGGCTTGATCGATCAAAGAAGGAAGGGAAGACTTCTTCGAAAGTCTTTGAACAGAGGATTCCGCGCTTTGCACGATGCATGACGCAAGAAGCCAGCAGTCATTGGGTCACTTTTTTTATTGAATGTCAGCATCCGGAGAAGGTACAGCAGAGAATTACTGTCGTGTGGACAGGATTCTGTCTTTTCACGGCAGGCAGGGATAGAACGCTGCAAATTTCGTCAGCGAATGGGAGAAATGGAGATATCTATGACGAAGATCAGGGTCGTGGGTCCTGCGGAAGGCTAGGTGTAGTCGGGCAGTCCGTCAAAAGGTGATATCTTTCGAGGAAATGGGGATGGAATTTAGACTCATGGAAGAGATGGAAGCTAAGAGCAGAATGGAGAATAGCGTTGAGAAAGCTGGGCAAGGAATTAGAGGAGCAGAAAAAAGAACTCCATTTTGAAGAGCCTCTGGCTCCATGAGGAGAAAAAAGCTGAAATAAAGGGTAAAAAACCCTCGTCTCTGGTACTTGTAGTAGACTAGTAGTATGGATACGGATCCGCCTCTGGGAGAGAGGGTGGATGAGGATGCATGCTTGGATAGGGGCTCTATATGGCCTTCCCACCCCCCCCGTGTTTGACATCTTATCGGATCTGAAGCCCCGATGGGAAAAACGAGCTTTTATTGCAGGACAAATACTCGACAAGTGGACAAAGTGTTTTTGAAAGGTAAAGAAAAGGTCAAGGGAAGAGCCGGGGCTAGGTCCCACTTGCTCGAATTAAGAGATCCTGACCGTAGATAGCAAAGATCAGCGGCCGAAATCTCCCAATCCGTGCAAGTGGGACCTTGCCCCCGGTGATTAGATACTAGCAGACGGGAATTAGGGAGAGTAATATTTCTAGGGTTTTTTCACACATGGTTCAGGCAGTTCACAGTAGGGAACTGAGAAGGATATTCCAGACTGATGATTTTAAGGGACGCTGGACCCGCTTTCCAGCAGGTACTGCTTCTCACCAATAGATCGGAGCCACGAACCAAGCTGCTAGGGGTGAATGCTCATACCATCACTCCTAGCAAACTTGGTGGTTGTTAAAAAAAAAAAAAAAAAAAAAAAAACTGATTTTAAGACTGTGTTGCTGCAGGGGATAGTTTGGATAGAGATGGGAGGGGATTGACTCAAGAGTATGGGCAAAAATGACGGTCAATCCTTCACAAAGAAGTAATCAATGCCGTCATGGATCCTGGGGCGGTAATGTGGGGAGGTGTTCAGAGTATGGGATTAATGCACTTGGTCTGACTTGCCAGTGGAGTAGGAACCGGCCGCATGCTTCCCAGAATGGATATGGAGCCTCGCCCATAAGTACCTGTTTTTTATTTTTCAAATGAACAAATAATCTAATAAAAACAGGTCAAGTCAATCACTGGCAGGCCCTTCTTGTGAGGGGGCATGCTGCTCACTCTTGCCCGGACACGCC